TCGGGATCTTGGGCACGCACGCACACGCGCCCGGCGTGAGTTTTAAGCCACCGGGTCCGGTACGCGAACCGCGGTCGACTACGTGGGAATCCAGCGACATAGCCATTACGCTAACTGCTGGTTCCCAGCCTGTAATTTCTGTAAGTCTATGGTGAGAGAGTGGTTGAAGGCCCCTTTGAGGTGAGATTGAATTTGTTCCCAGGTAATTGGTGTGTGATTGTAAGGTAGAGGGATAATACAGATTCATTTATAATCAGCATGGCAAGCAGTAGTCAACCAGACCTTAATATTGTGAATTTCTTGTCCCAAATATAAAACTGCTTCTTCTAGGGCATTAACTTTGTCAGCCCGTTGTTGGTCAATTTGCTCCTGTTTGAACAAGGCAGTGGAGACATTGAGAGTTAATTCATTAATGTGGGAAGCTGTCAAACAAAGAGAAGGAAAAATTATTTAAGAAATAATAAACCATTTATTTAGGAAAAACACAGGGGGTCCAGTTTGGAAAACCGGACTGTGAGGAAATGTCGTTCCAGGAATATTCTGCTGAGACTGGGCAAACTGAAAGTAACTTAGGTGGGTGAATAGAAGGTGCAGTGGCTAAAATTGAATTATTGTATTCTGTAAGAGAAAGGAAAGTTAGGGTCCAAGCATCACAAGTGTGGTCATCATAACTGGAGGGAAGTAGCTGTCCTGTGGTTGAAAGAGAATCTGTAACTTGAAATGTAGGGGGAAAAAGTAACATAAAATGGAAGAGGCTTAACACCATAAGCTGAAAAGCAAAAGGGGAGTGATTCCATGGAAGCTGAAAAGTTAAAGGGAGTTGAGACGTGAGGCTGTTCATGTCCAAGAGGATTTCCCCCCATTAGTTTAGAATGATTAGTAGTTACAATTATTTCATCACCATCCCAAGCAAATTCACAAGGGTAAGGTGTAGTGGGCTCAGATGGGGGAGAAAGGTAGGGGGTAGGGTTTTAATAATGTAAAAGCAAAAGCGCAGTACTGAAGCAAGAAAAGCAGGTTAATCCTTTTTAGGGTAGGTTCTGTCTCCACCTAAACATAATAGAATTTTAATGGTCTTCATAGCTCAGGGCAAGGGGTCTGGCTGCTGATTATATCACTAAGGAACATAAAGACAATAGGAATATTAATTACTGTTTACTCTTAGGCACAGAGGAGAAGCCAAGTTTCTAGTTACAGGAATCTAGGAGCTTATAATGGAGGTGCTTCTTTAAGATGGAGTTGCTCCTGTTTTATTTTCCTCTTGTCTTGGAGGTGTTCATCCATGAAGGGGTCATGTCTGGTGTACTTGGGCTCTAGGTTTAGAAGCAACTAACATTTAATATTTAAAGGCTTTTATCCTGTGAGAGACAAATTGGGTAAGAAAACTGAGTAAATTAGAGCAAAAAATCAGAATTAGAAGCACGGTGAATAGAATACTCAGCAAGAGTGAGGACCAAGGAGTGCACTGGTATCAGAGGCCACTTTAACTGTCCCATGAGTCAGCAGCAGCCTGTCCTTTTTCAGACCTTCTGGTCGTGGAGCCACTGAGCCATACTTTTGACAATGTCCGACTTGCAGTCAGCTTCTGCAGTGACTAGAGCAGGGCTGCTGCTGTCTGGTGTCTAAAGCACTATTACAAAGGACCCTCCTGGCTCATCCTTACATACCAAGGCCCCTGTGAAAGCAGTCTGCTTGGCTTTAGTGAGACAGACTCATAGGCTAACTTTACAGCTAAATGAGGCCCCATCTGGACTAGTTGAAGGGGCTTTTTTTCTTTTAGTTGTTTTACTGTATATAATATTTAAAGATAGCAAA